AAACAATTGTGTTGTTTTAGGGTAATCCAGTAACAAAGGAGTCCATGTACTTCGCAGTAAAAACATGCAGGAAGTATCACAAGGACCGAATACCTATTGTAAAAGATACCTGGGGAAAATATGCTTTTCATATAGGTTTCTACAGTGAAAGTGAAGGTAACATTTACAGTTTTATTGAGGTAGAGTTTTGTGGAGTGAAAGAGCATGGGTAGAAATGGAAAAAGCATTTTCACTGCACCATATTCTTTAATGAACCCCAAATTAGTTGTTGATGGTCAGGCTGGAGTGTAACCTCCTTGCCCGCCAACTTTGTGTTTACAATGCAGTCAGTATTCTTTTGCTCACGTAAGCATATTCTGTGAGTTGTGAGTTTTTGCCTGTTCTTGGGAAAAATGTGCATGATAAATGTAGAAGATGGAGAGGATTGTATAAAATACAGTAGACTCCCAATCATCCAGGAGTAGATTAACCAGGTTGTGGATAAATGAGTGTCTATCTGGCTTAAATGAAAATGAAATCTAATTTAGAAACTTTTAGACAGAAGGGAATAAATACAACATATTAACCTAAATCACTTGTTACTAAAACCTGAAGATTATGACAATAGAGCATTGTGTTACTATCCACTGGAACCCCTTTAAAAAAATTGTATTTACTGTATTAAATCTTGTATCATATCTCTTCTGTTATTAGTAAATCTACATTTAAGTAGTATATATGTAAATAAGCTTGTTACATTTGCATGTTTTTCTTTAATTTTTGCTATTTTCTTGGGTTTTGATTATCCTAGAAAATATATTTCCCAACCAGCCTGGACAATCATGAGTCTATTGTAATGTTCGTAATTGGCAGATATGGTATCATTGAGCCCATAATTATAAATCTAAATCATCTGTCGGACTAAAACATTTTAGTGCAGTCAACCAATGGAGACCATGGTACTCACCCCTGATTGTCCTCATCTGATCTAAAAGAATTCCCATTGCCTGCAAGATGTTAAAGTGTATAGATTGTAAATTCATAGCAGTGTATATTTTTTACCTATGAGTAGCTTTTTAGTTCTGTAATCTCGAGAAACTCCGCAAAGACGTCGAGGTTTTTAACACCATAAAAAAGAGAAAGTTGGAATATTTCGGTCATATCATGAGAAATAGTGATAGATACGGGCTGCTTCAGCTGATAATCCAGGGAAAAGTATTCGGAAAGAGGGGACCTATATATTTATATCACCCTTAAAAATCCATCGACCTTGGCCGGGATTGAACCCGCGAACCTTGGGTCCAGTGGTGATCACACTAGTCCACTGAGGGCGACTTACATTATAATATATATATGTATATATCTGTGTGTGTGTGTGTGTGCATGTATGTAAGTGTATATAGCCAGATACATTACATCTGCCAAAGTTTGGTCCCTTGTGCTTCAAAGCAGGAAACTTCCGATTTAATGAGGCACGTTTTCTGGACAAATAAACTTGGAGTGTACTGCATACCATATGTTAATATGGTCAAAAGTAATTACAAATTTAAAAAAAAATTCTTCAATTGTATTTTAGAAATACTTTTTACTTATTTACTTTTATTCGTGGTGTTTTAATGTTACCTTACAAAACCCATTCTTTAGGTTTATTTGGTTCCAACCAAACAGGTGGGGATCCAGTGATGTAACCACCTGGGCACAGTCCAAATTGCATCACTTGTACTGCTTAAATTGACACTTGTCATTTTTCAGATTCTGCAGTCCCAACAATTAATTTAGGAGTCCCAAACACAGAACATGGGCACTGCAGAAAAACAATGGCCATATTGAAGCATATTTCATTGACTGCACCAACCATACCAGATGTTAAATGGGTCGTTGTAGCAGATGATGACACTATTCTCAGGTAACTACTTGAACGTAGAATTAATTCTTTTCTTTATATAGGATTTGAGACTTTCGCAGCGAGTACAATCAATAAAATCTTCTCGGTCAATCAGCCGCGTTAGCTGGTTATTAAAGTGACGTTTCGGGAACAAACTCGAAAGTCGCCTGTGTACACAGGCGACTTCCGAGGATCCAGTCACATCAGAACCCTGAAGATAGGGACAGAGTTTGTTCCCGAAACATCGGTTTACTACGGTAACCAGTTAATGCGGCTGATTGCCCAAGAAGATTTTATTGATTCTTTTCTTTGTGTTGATATGAAATGTCACAAACGCAGAATGTGTATGCTGTTTAGGGCAGAGATGCAATTGTCATGACCTACAATCTCACTCGTGTCTGTGTAGTTCTTGATTGTTATTACTGTCAAATGTGGAAGTTCGTTAGTTTTTTAAAGGTAAAAATGGAAACCTACAGACATTTGAATGCATACCAGATTAAGTGACAATCATCACTTGTCATGGATGTTTCCTGTTTACAACATTATAACGACTTCTGGAAGACTATAAGACAAAATAAACGACAGTAAGAGAAAGAGTTATATCATAATTGGAATGATTTATACAGGTTTATGATGGAAGGAATAATTTCACGTGAGGTCAAACAGCTTCTTGATAGTAATAAACATATAAAGTTTACATGAGAAGAGAAGGTCAGAAGAAAGCAAAGATGAAAGGCACTAGGTAAAATGAGCGAAAGAGAAGGAAAAGAAGAAATGGAAGAACAGAGAAAATCTAGATTAGAAAAAGTATAGAAACAGATGAGCTTATGAAAACTGGAAAGTGAAATAGCTTTTGAAGCTAAGAGAACCTGGATGATGAGAGGTCACAAGAAAGAGAAGATACAAAGAGAATCTTGACTACAGAAACTAGAGAAATAATGGCAACGAAACTATTATAACAAATGGAAGGTGAAAGAAACTATCATGTCATTGTGATTATCATAGTTAAGATTTCATGAGCTGGGATAGCTCAGTCAGTATAGTGACTAGCTACGAGCTGGATGACTGGGGTACGATCTCCAATGGGGAGAAGGATTTTTCCTCTAGGCTCTGGGGCCCATCCAGCCTCCTATCCAATGGGTACCGGGGTCCGTTCCTGGGAGTAAAGCGCGGCCGGGGCCTGATGCTGACCACTCACCCCCATCTAGTGCCGAGGTCAAGAATGAGTAGGAGCTATACCTCCACTCCTCCCAAACGACCTACATGGTGTGTAGCGAGACAGCTTAACTTTTTTATTTACTTTTATAGTAAAGATTTCATTTTGATTTTGTAAAGATTCTCCTAATAGCTTATACTGGAAAGTTTCTGGTGCAGTGTTATTGGGTATTATTTAAATAAAATTACATTATTTTGTAGCAAAGAATTTATATTTTTAAGTGTTCTTCGTGCTGTAGCATGAGTAAAGAACACTCTGAGAACTGATCCATGTCATTCATGTTTTCCTAGTTGTCAAGTCTGCAGTGAACTGGGTGTGAAAAATGTACAGGTTGGATTTTATTAACGATGATGGTAAGCTGGAGTTAATATAAACAGTTCAGATATGAACAGTAACATATTCCTTGGGTATCTGTCTGCACTCCAGTCTTTAAATTATTCAGGCATGCTTGTAATTACAGGTAGTACACGTCACGTATTTTACATTTGCAGTGTTGCAAGACTTCAGCAGTTACTTAGCTGCTTTGAATCAAGCACGCTACTTGCTCTTGGTGAGAGATATGGTTACAATGTGCAGCATTCACCTCAAGGCTACAACTACATAACTGGTGGTGGAGGAATGGTATTTTCCATTGCTGCTGTGCACCAAATAGCCACCTCCAGCTACTGTGAGTGTCCATCAAATTCAACTCCAGATGACATGTTTCTTGGCATATGTTTAGCCAAGCTGGGTATACCGATAACACATTCATCACTTTTTCACCAGGTATATTCTTTTATTCAGTAAAAATTCCTGCTTCTCCTGGCTCCTTAGATAACCGCCATCCTTTCCCCTCATCCACATAATTGTAAAAAATGCTGTTACTCCACCCCATTCCTTCCTACTACCAAAGAAACACAGTTTTCCCTCAGATTTCTTGCCCCACATGTACTATCATGTCATTTATTTCTCTCCAATGTGAATCCTCACCAGAACCATCATTCTGTGTTACCCTCATCCCACATAACCCCCCCACACACCTGACCTTCAGTACTTTCTTATTTTTTCTTTAATTTTCGTTTAGCTGTCATCATCTTTATTTAAATATTATGAAAATCACGAGGAAATAGGAGCAGACTAAATTCCGGAAATGCTTGCTACTTCTGAGTTCAAAATATTTTGTCTGATTTTTAAGAACCTAAAGATTAAAGTATACAAAACAATAATTTTGCCTGTTGTTTTGTATGGGAGCGAAACATGGTCTCTCACTCAGAGGGAGGAACATAGATTGCAGGTGTTTGAGAACAGGGTGTTGAGGAGGATATTTGGGCCTAAGAGGGAAGATGATGGGGCATGGAGAAAACTGCATAATGATGAGCTTAAAAATCTGTACTCCTCCCCCAGTATTGTCAGGGTGATTAAGTCGAGAAGAATGAGATGGGCGGGGCATGTAGCGCGCATGGATGGTACAAGAGGTGTGCACCGGGAATTGGTTGGGAAGCCTGGGGGGAAGAGACCGCTGGGGAGACCTAGACGTAGATGGAAGGAAAATCTCAGGCGGGATCTATGGGAGATAGGAGTTGAAGGGCTTTGGTTAATTCGGTGATGAACCTTCGGGTTCCATAAGGCATCTAGTTAGAAAATTCTGCTGTTTTATGACCTTCGATTCCCATACCCACACATTTAAAGACTAGACGGGCAGTGTGACAAGAGGAGAAGACAGAAAGTTATGTGACAGCAGGGAAATGAGGCTAGAGGGGGTGAGAGAAAATAGTTGTTGGTGGGAGCAAGCTGGTGAGGGTACAAAGAGGGTTGTGATGAGAGGGAGGTAGAGAAATTTAGAACTAAGTGAAGTGAAGACAAAAAGAGTAAGTGGCAGTTCAGGTGATGGAAAATGAGGGTTGTTAGGACTTACAGTCTGGGTGGGAAGGGGTGTGGGTAGGAGAGGAAGATACAGGATTGAGGGGGTGAGAGGGTGGTGGTTGTGAAGGGGTTGGTGTCAGTGAGGGGTGAATGAGGCAGCAAAATAAATGACAGCGCATAGGTAAGGAGATTGAGTGAATGTTTGCTTCGAAGGATTTGGATGAGAGGGAAATAGAGAAAATATTGTGGTAAGGGAATGAGCATGTTGACGCCAGTGGGATGACTGGATGGGAGCTGACACAAGTGATGTAACAGTCATAATGATAAGGTTTGATGGACAATTATGGCACCGCAGAAGAATGGGATGATAATGGTGATTATTACTCATTGATCAGCTTCACTTCTAGAATTAATGGAATGGATTGTTTTATTTTTCAAATGTGTGAATGCAAATTCAGTGTGGGAATACTTACAGCTTTTTTTTTTCAACTAGGCACGCCCAATGGACTATGCTCCAGAGTACTTACACCCACAGCTGCCTGTGTCATTTCATAAGCACTGGATGACCGATCCTCTCAAAGTGTACAGTAAGTGGTTTTCTCAAATTGACCAGCAAATAGAAGCAGACCACCTATCCCAGAAGCATGTGGAGCTGTGAAATCAATATTTTCAACAGCGAAATTAAGAAATCTTACATACATATATTTGTATTAAAGTGTTTTGTTGTTACAAAGTTAAAAAGAAGTGTTTAATTGCGGAAAGAACATTTTACTATTTCCTACCATAGTCATAAAGGAGTTAAACCAAGGGTTCTTAACATCTGGCCCACAACAGAATATACCTTTTGAGCTAGGTATATACTAGTTTAGGTCAGATTACATTGTTAGTTTAGTTTAGGTATCCCAAATAATCCTAACCTTGTTTGCCTAACCAAACCTAACTTGACGTAACCTACCATATCCTATCCAATCCGAACCTTAGCTATTTTGTGCTGCAGACGACACATGAGGCACAGACTGAGACGGGCAAAGACACGGTCGTTCACACAGCGTGTTCTGCAGAGGCCGGTTTTACAGACACTTAGGCAGTCAGCAAGCGGGAGAGATAGAGGCCGAGTACAGCAGAGACAGGATGAGGCATTCACCGAGGCTGGCATGCATCTCTTGGAGAGAGTTTAGAAAAAAGTTGAAAATTTTCAAATTTTTCTAAAAATAAAAAAATGCTTGAAATTGTCTGAAAAGCGCACAAAACCAAATTTTTTTTTCCACCACCTGATGCTTTCCAGACCCGGTCTCTGTCGGACTGCTTTTGATGTACTGTGTCTGACGAATGCGGTCTGTGCCAAACTCCGGCTCTGTACGGACCGGTCTCTGTATGACAAGGCTCTAACAAGCCGTCTCCGACAAGCCCAGGTGCGGCCCGGAACACGTGAGGCAGACACGGACATGCAGAGATCAGAGACCTGCAGAGGCCGGATGGTGCACACACCGAGGCAGATAACTGGGTGAGACAGAGGTCGAGTCGGGCAGAGACAGGATGTGGCATTCAGGGAGACTGGCATGCATCTCCTGCGGAGACCTTTGAAAAAAAATTGAAAATTTTCAAAATTTTCGAAAAATCAAAAAATGCTGGAAATTGTCTGAAAAGTGCACAAAACCAACATTTTTTTAAAATTTTGAATAAACTTTTCAGGTGGAATTTTTCAAAAATTTTGTGTTTTGTGCGCATTTTGGAAAATTTCCTGCAATTTTTGATTTTTCCAAAATTTTCGAATTTTTCAAAATTCTCCCTAACTGATGCCTTGCAGAACCGGTCGCTGTCCACCTGCTTCTGATGTACTTTGTCTCGGACGAACGCCGTCTGTGCCTCACATGGTCTCTGACATGCTGTCTTTGAAAAGCCGAGGTGCTGCAGAGGATACGTAAGGCACAGACCGAGACGGGCAAACACACGGTCCTTCACACAGCGCGTCCTGCAGAGGCCGGTTGCTACAGACACTTAGGCAGTCAGCAAGCGGGAGAGATAGAGACCGAGTACGGCAGAGACATGATGAGGCATTCACCGAGGCTGGCATGCATTTCTTGGGGAGAGTTTAGATATAAGTTTAAAATTTTCAAAATTTTCGAAAAATCAAAAAATGCTGGAAATTGTCTGAAAAGTGCACAAAACCAAAATCTTTTGAAATTTTGAAAAAACTTTTCAGGTGGAATTTTTCAAAAATTTCGTGTTTTGTGCGCATTTTGGAAAATTTCCTGCAATTTTTGATTTTTCCAAAATTTTCGGATTTTTCAAAATTCTCCCTAACTGATGCCTTGCAGAACCGGTCGCTGTCCACCTGCTTCTGATGTACTTTGTCTCGGACGAACGCCGTTTGTGCCTCACATCGTCTCTGACATGCTGTCTTTGAAAAGCCGAGGTGCTGCAGAGGACACGTAAGGCACAGACCGAGACGGTGAAAGACACGGTCCTTCACACAGCGCGTCCTCCAGAGGCCGGTTGCTTCAGACACTTAGGCAGTCAGCAAGCGGG